GATGCAGCCTCCGTGGTAGATGAAGTCTCTGTGGTGGTAGATGCTGCCTCTTTGGTGGTAGATGCAGCCTCGGTGGTCGATGAAGCCTCTGTCCTGGAAAGTGCAACTTCTGTTGTGGTGGAAGATGCAGCCTCTAAAGTAGTAGATGCAGCCTCTGTGGAAGGTGCAGCCTCTGTGGAAGGTGCAGCCTCTGTGGTGGTAAAAGCAGCCTCTATAGTGGTAGATGAAGCCTCTATAGTGGTAGATGAAGTCTCTGTGGTAGATGCTGCCTCTGTGGTGGTAGATGTAGCCTCTATAGTGGTAGATGAAGCCTCTATAGTGGTAGATAAAGCCTCTGTGGTAGATGCTGCCTCGGTGGTGGTAGATGAAGCCTCTGTGGTGGTAGATGCAGCTGCTGTAGTGGTAGATGCAGCTGCTGTAGTGGTAGATGCAGCATCTGTGGTAGCAGATGCAGTCTCTATAGTGGTAGATGCAGCCTCTATAGTGGTAGATGCAGCCTCTATAGTGGTAGATGCAGCCTCTGTAGTAGTAGATACAGCCTCTGTAGTGGTAAATGCATTCTCTGTGGTGGTAGATGTAGCCTCTGTGGTGGTAGATGAAACCTCTGTAGTGGTAGATGCAGCTTCTGTAGTGGTAGATGCAGCCTTTATAGTGGTAGATGCAGCCTTTATAGTGGTAGATGCAGCCTCTATAGTGGTAGATGCAGCCTCTGTGGTGGTAGATGCAGCCTCTATAGTGGCAGAGTCAGCTTCTGTAATGGTAGATGTAGTCTCTGTGGTGGTAGATGCAGCCCCTATGGTTGTAGATGCAGCTTCTATAGTGGTAGATGCAGCTTCTGTGGTGGTAGATGCAGCCTCTGTGGTGGTAGATGCAGTCTCTATAGTGGTAGATGATGCTTCTATGGTGGTAGATGCAGCCTCTATAGTGGTAGATGAAGCCTCTATGGTGGTAGATGCAGCAGCTGTGGTGGTAGATGCAGCTTCTATAGTGGTAGATGCAGCCTCTATGGTCGTAGATGCAGCTTCTATAGTGGTAGATGCAGCCTCTATAGTGGTAGATTCTGACTCTGGGGTGATAGATGCAGCTTCTGTAGTGGTAGATGCAGCCTCTGTGGTAGTAATGCAGCCTCTATAGTGGTAGATGCAGCCTCTATGGTGGTAGATGCAGCCTCTGTGGTGGTAGATGCAGCTTCTATAGTGGTAGATGCAGCCTCTATGGTGGTAGATGCAGCTTCTATAGTGGTAGATGCAGCCTCTATAGTGGTAGATGAAGCCTCTATGGTTGTAGAAGTAGCCTCTGTGGTGGTAGATGCAGCCTCTATAGTGGTAGATTCTGACTCTGGGGTGATAGATGCAGCTTCTGTGGTGGTAGATGCAGCCTCTATAGTGGTAGATGCTGCTTCTATGGTGGTAGATGCAGCCTCTGTGGTGGTAGATGCAGCCTCTGTGATGGTAGATGCAGCCTCTGTGGTGGTAGATGCAGCTGTGGTGGTAGATGCAGCCTCGATAGTGGTAGATGCTGCCTCTATGGTGGTATATGCAACCTCTGTGGTGATAGATGCAGCTGTGGTGGTAGATGTTGTCTCTGTGGTGGAAGATGCAGCTTCTATAGTGATAGATGCTGCCTCTATAGTGGTAGATGATGCCTCTATGGTGGTAGAAGCAGCCTCTGTGGAGGTAGATGCAGCCTCTTTAGTGGTAGATGCAGCCTCTGTAGTGGTAGATGCAGTCTGTGTGGTGGTAGACGCTGCCTCTATAGTGGTAGATGATGCCTCTATGGTGGTAGATGCAGCCTCTGTAGTGGTAGATGCAGCCTCTTTGCTGGTAGATGCAGCCTCTGTGGCGGTAGATGCAGTCTCTGTGGGTGTAGATGCAGTCTCTGTGGTGGTAGATGCAGTCTCTGTGGTGGTAGATGCTGCCTCTATAGTGTTAGATGCAGCCTCTATGATGGTAGATGCTGCCTCTACAGTGGTAGATGCTGCCTCTATAGTGGTAGATGCAGCCTCTGTGATGGTAGATGTTGCCTCTACATTGGTAGATGCTGCCTCTATAGTGGTAGACGCAGCCTCTGTGGTCGCAGATGCAGTCTCTGTAGTGGTAGATGCTGCTTCTATAGCGGTAGATGCAGTCTCTGTGGTGGTAGATGGAGCCTCTGTGGTGGTAGATGCTGTCTCTATAGTGGTAGATGCAGGCTCTGTGGTAGTAGATGCAGCCTCAGTGGTGGTAGATGCTGCCTCTATAGTGGCAGATGCAGCCTCTCTGGTGGTAGATGCAGCCTCTGTGGTGGTAGATGCAGTCTCTGTGGTGGTAGATGCAGTCTCTGTGGTGGTAGATGCAGCCTCTGTGGTGGCAGATGCAGCTTCTGTGGTGGTAGATGCAGTCTCTCTGGTGGTAGATGCAGCCTCTGTGGTGGCAGATGCAGTCTCTGTGGTGGTAGATGCAGCCTCTCTGGTGGTAGATGCACCTCTTGTGCGATGCTCTCTGTGGTGGTAGATGCAGCCTCTCTGGTGGTAGATGCTGTCTCTGTGGTGGTAGATGCAGTCTTTGTGGTGGCAGATGCAGTCTCTGTGGTGGTAGATGCAGTCTCTGTGGTGGTAGATGCAGCCTCTCTGGTGGTAGATGCTGTCTCTGTGGTGGTGTTTGTGACTGGTTTAGTACAGGTAGCAAAGAAGTTTGATATATTACTAGTTGGTGTGGTATCAGTGGTGATTGGTTTGGTGAACGGGGTGGTAGTGGTTGATGCGTCAGTAATGGTGGTTGGTGCTGTGGTTGATTTGATGGTTGTGGTGGTAATGCTTGGTATAGTGATGGTGCTTGTTATGGTATTGTTTTTGGTTGGTATTAGTGTGGAGGATGATGTGGTGGTAGTGATTTCTGGTATTGTATGTGTAGTGGCTGGCGTGGTGGTAGTTGTAGTTGTTGCAGTTTGTGGGGTGATAGTTGTGTTATATGAGGCACTGGAAATGGTGGTTGTGAGGGTGGTTGGTATGGTTGTAGTGATGGTAGATGGGATGGAGGTGGTTCTTGAAGCAGTAATTATTGCTGGTGTGGGGGTAGTTGTTGTGGCAGTAATTGTTGTCAGTGAGGGAGTGGTGGTTAAAGTAGTAGTGCTGGTAGTTGCCATGGTGGTGGTTGACGTGGTAGCAGTTGTAGATGGTGTGAGAGTGGTTAATGTGGTAGTAGTTCTTAGTGTAGAGGCGGTTGATGTAGTTGCAGTAGGTGTGAGGGTGATTGATGTGGTAGTAGTAGTAGCTGGGGTGGTGGTGGTGGTGGTGGTGGGTGATATGGTAGTGGCAGTTAATGTGGAAGTGGTTGATGTGGCAGTAGTTGGTGCAGGGGTGGTTGATGTGGTAGAAGTAGTTGCGGTGGTGGTGGTTGATGTGGTAGTAGTTGCGGTGGTGGTGGTTGATGTGGTAGTAGTAGTTGCGGTGGTGGTGGTTGATGTGGAAGTAGTTACAGTTGGTGTTAAGTTGGTTGATGTAGTGATAACAGTTAGTGTTGCAGTCGCTGGAAGGATGCTGGGTGAGGTTGAGTCAAAGACAGCAGTACTGGAAGACAATGTGGCATTGATGGAGGTAACGGAGACAACCAAGGCAGTGAGGTTGGCGAGGGAGGACGCGACGTGACGGAGGGCCTCACTAACTTCCTCCATGGAGTGAAGGTCTCCAGCTGTGGACAAGCAGACAAATGCTAATTACTGAACAGTGAAGAACAACACACACAAGTGAACGCAGAAAAACTAAAATACGGTGGAAATTATTATACTTATACTCGCACCCGTTGGGGCGAGTGTGATTTGTTAATGGGAGGTAAACAGGTTTGATCCGAGGAAAGTGAGTGCATCATAGCCAAAATATAAAAATATTTTTGACAACTATTATTTGTTAAGATTGTGAGAAATATGTGAATAATGTTAATGTATCTGCTCATCTGTGTTAATTATACCCAGAATGATATAGTTAAATTAACGTTAGTTTAATATTTTTATTATATAGGTATGATTCAGGTGAGCGTTGCCCTAATTCCTTGGATCAAGAAAGCCCTTCACCGGCATTAAAACTCCCTTGAAGGGGGATTTCTTTAAATACACTAGGTGTTACCTGGAGGTTACCTGGAGGTTATTCCGGGGATCAACGCCCCCGCGGCCCGGTCCATGACCAGGCCTCCCGATGGATCAGGGCCTGATCAACTAGGCTGTTACTGCTGGCCGCACGCAGTCCAACGTACGAGCCACAGCCCGGCTGATCCGGCACCGACTTTAGGTATCTGTCCAGCTCTCTCTTGAAGGCAGCCAGGGGTTTATTGGCAATTCCCCTAATGCTTGATGGGAGGCTGTTGAACAGTTTTGGGCCCCGGACACTTATGGTGTTTTCCCTTAGTGTACCAATGGCGCCCCTACTTTTTATTGGCGGCACTTTGCATCGCCTGCCCAGTCTTTTACTTTCGTAGGGAGTGATTTCTGTGTGCAGATTTGGGACCATTCCTTCCAAGATTTTCCAAGTGTAGATTATGATATATCTCTCCCTCCTGCGTCCCAACGAGTACAAGTCAAGTGCTTCCAAGCGTTCCCAGTAGTTAAGGTGCTTGACAGAACTTATACGTGCAGTAAAGGATCTCTGTACACTCTCTAGATCTGCGATTTCACCTGCTTTGTATGGAGATATTAATGTACAGCAGTATTCCAGCCTAGAGAGAACAAGTGATTTGAAAAGGATCATCATGGGCTTGGCATCTCTCGTTTTGAAAGTTCTCATTATCCATCCTATCATTTTCTTTGCACGTGCGATCGTGGCACTGTTGTGATCCTTGAAAGTGAGATCCTCAGACATTACTACTCCCAGGTCCCTTACATTATTTTTCCGCTCTATTGTGTAGTGTAATATATTTTTCTATGCACATTGTTTAAGAAAATAAATTATTAATTGTATGCTATACCTTTCATTGACGTCAAAATGAAAATAGAGTTAGTGTAACAAGATGTGTGAACCTGAGTAAATTGAGTGTCCAGCAGTATGAGAGTGCGCTGCACTGGTGTTCTCTTACAAATGTTGGATAAAAATTATCCCGAGGACCGCCCCTTGTAATGTGATTCCCTTATGTGCCTTACAGAACTCTTGCTGGAGTTGTGTTAGAGGCAAGAGAGAGAGAGAGAGGAATAGGTACACTGCATATTACCGGACTGCAAGAAGATATTTGTTACCGTACCTCACAAGAGATTAGGAGAAAAACTGAACGAATGTTGGAGAAGAGATGTTAGACTGAGAAAGTGTAACAAGGCCCACTAAGCCCGTATCCTGATGGTAAAAGCTCTTGCTTCACACTCTGAGGGGCCCGGGTTTGATTCATGCCAAAGGGAGAAACACTGGACGTTTCTTACACTGGTTGTCCCATCAGTAAAAATGGGTACCTGGGTGTTAATCGACTGGTGTGAGTCGCATCCTGGGACAAAATTGACCTAATTTGTCCGAAATGCTCTGCATAACAAGCGGCTTTCTATAATAGTAGTGACTGACGTCAGCTAGGCCTGTATACCTTGTACATGTACTTGTAGAAATAAAGATATTATATTATTATTATTATTATATTAATTAAGCCAGAAGAGACAGTCAGATGGGTACCCATTTGCAGACAATGTAAAATCAATGAAGATAATAAAATCTTATAAGGGCAAATAAAGGCTATAAATGACGCTGGAGAGACTGTAAACAAACACCAGGAAATGGAAATAATGAGGAACCCAGAAGGGATATAGATTGTAAAACACATACAAGCGACCAAACAGATTGAAAGGAACATGTCAACTAACTTGTCATTTAGACAGAATGGATAATGAGAACTTTCAAAACAAGAGAGTATTGTATTGTGTTGACGACTCCATTTAAGGCAGGAGACATGTCAGAACTGAAACAGATACTGAGATTATTTGCACTCCACATAGAGCCAAGAAGTATTTAAAATTCTGGGAATGCCTAAAAGTACAGAATATGGACTCAGGAGCAGAGAGAGAGAGAGAGAGAGAGAGAGAGAGAGAGAGAGAGAGAGAGAGAGAGAGAGAGAGAGAGAGAGAGAGACAGAGAGAGAGACAGAGAGAGAGACAGAGAGACAGAGAGAGAGAGAGAGACAGAGAGAGAGAGAGAGAGAGAGAGAGAGAGAGAGAGAGAGAGAGAGAGAGAGAGAGAGAGAGAGAGAGAGAGAGAGAGAGAGAGAGAGAGAGAGAGTGATAATATATGCTTGGAAAATACTAGTCACAAATCTACATAGTACCAACAACTTACTGGAGTGTGAGATATGGTACAAAATATAAAATAAACAAAGTGAAAAGCAGGGGTGCCATGTAAACAATAAGAGAACACTATATTAACATCCACAGGCCAAGATTATTCACCACTCTGCCAAAAGATATGGGAAATACTGCCTGAACAGGCAGATGTCTTCAAGTACCAGATCAGCCAGGCTATTCCTCCTCTGATGCAATCTCTCTCTTTGATTTTTTTTTAACGGAAACTACCCTATTGCACCAGTACGCAGTACCAGTTGTATACTCCAAAATGAACCTAAGGACTAAAGGGAACCCCTCACCTGATAAAGCATGGTAAGAAACTGGAAAGTAAAGACATTCAACGAGAGTAATCCATAATCAAAGGGAAAAGAACTCTAGGGAAAAACTAAAGTAACTGAACCTTACATTAGGGGATAGAACAACACCCATCTAAATAAAAAAAAAAGCTTGTGGTAAAGGATTCATAGCACTGCATAACCCCATTGATACCGATTAAATTAGCTATGACTTGTAAACGTGGAAGAAAACTATTAGTCACCCACCTGAGACGAAGCCAAAGTTGTGCCAACCATCGACCAAGAACAAAATAGTCATTGTGCGAAGTATCCTGCCAACCATAATGACGCCACAAGTGCAACTTAGTGCAGCCAAAATATTCTCTATAATTACTAATGATCTATATTCAATGATCGATTGACAACGAAAACATTTATATGTGATTTATATCGTGCATGTTATTTCTTTCTGGTAACACAGGACACTAAATATAAAATTATCCGCTGGTATCAATATTAAAAGTTGTCATGGAGTTGAGGTGGCAGTGAGACGGGTCAAATACACAGGGACTTGCACCTCCCTTCTGTCGAGAAGTGAGTCCTCCCTCACAACACTCGATTCCATATATCCGCTAGTGCACTGCGTTACCAGTGAGGGCATGGTGCCACCACACAGACCTGGAGGGGTATCGTGCTGGGGATATCGTAAACCACAGTACACTGTAAACGATCCCCTGGCTCGTCTGTCGGGGCAGGCGTGAAAGTGTCAGCTTGCCTGTCTGGCACATGTACTGCCACACACACACACACACACACCATACAAAAACAAACAAACACACACACACACAGACAGGAGGTGTGAATCGACCCCCTGCAACCACAAACAGGTGAGTACGCACACACACACTTTCCTATCAGAGAATTGCACCTTCCTGTCGTCGAGGATGATGATGATGATGATGATAATAATAAATTAAGCGTTGAACCTGAGATCATGCAGCACTTCAGGAAGGGATATGTGAAAGGAGGAATGTGTAAAGGTGATGGAGTGAAGGATTGGAGTGTATGAGGACAGGGGCTAAGGAGAGTGCAAGAGGAAAAATAAAATCACAGTTGGTGCAATGAGTTAGTTTCTGTTAAAAAGTCAAATACGTAGTCTGCATCATAGGTGGGACTTTTAATAAAGATGCCAGTGAGAATTAGTGTGTTGGGGAGGTGGAGATGATGGAAATGAATTCTGCTTGCCCACTAATACGATGAACAATTGAATAAGATTTGTTAAACTGACAGTACCCCTCCCCCCCACCAGCAGTCCTCACATAGTGGTGCCAATCGTTTTTCCATAAGATATCCTTTAGTGACTCCATGGGGAAGTGGAACAGAATTCTTCCTCCGTAAGCCATGCGTGTCGTAAGAGGCGACTAAAATGCCAGGAGCAAGGGGCTAGTAACCCCTTCTCCTGTATATATTACTAAATTTGAAAGGAGAAACTTTCGTTTTTCCTTTTGGGCCACCCCACCTCAGTGGGATACGGCTGGTACGTTGAAAGAAAAGATCCTTCAGTGAGGCGCATGTGGCCGATATGTAGGCAGGATAAGATAAGATTTCGTTCGGATTTTTAACCCCGGAAGATTAGCCACCCAGGATAACCCAAGAAAGTCAGTGCGTCATCGAGGACTGTCTAACTTATTTCCATTGGGGTCCTTAATCTTGTCCCCCAGGATGCGACCCACACCAGTCGACTAACACCCAGGTACCTATTTGCTGTTAGGTGAACAGGACAACAGGTGTAAGGAAACGTGTCGAAATGTTTCCACCCGCCGGGAATCGAACCCGGGCCCTCCGTGTGTGAAGCGGGAGCTTTAGCCACCAGGCCACCGGGCCACCCAGAGACTGCACTCTCCCAAATACGACAGCAGTGGGAAGACGGCCAGAAACCCAAACATGGTTTGGCAGAAGATATTTTGTTGTGGACCATCATTGTTGCCATTAGTTGTGAAATTTTGAGAAATAAGTGAAAAATAATCTGAGTAAGGAATACCCCTGTGGGTAATTGGGTCATGAACAGCTGATCGAGTGGCTGATTCTGCATGTTGTAACTGAACATGACTGTAACCGTACCACCCAGGGACCCAGAAGTCTTAAATGAGGACTGTCTTCCTGACGTGAAGAACTACGCCTTCTTGTTGGGAAGCGCACTTATGTAATACCTTCATTTTCTCTGCTGAATTGATTAACCACAGGTTGTGACACAGTACATTGTTAACAATGTAGGGAGTGTTAGCACATACAGTAGCGTGAAATATATTATCAGCAAATTGAATCATATAACCCCTTCAATGACGGATATATCTTACAGATGGTGAGGGGTTCTTGATCCGAGGAATTAGCGTCAATGTTATGTTACGTAAGTAGTAGGAGACTACTATTACTAGACATGATGGTTAGCTGTCAGTGAAAGATTAGGGCGCTGACCTGGAGTTTACCTGGAGAGAGTTCCGGGGGTCAACGCCCCCGCGGCCCGGTCTGTGACCAGGCCTCCTGGTGGATCAGAGCCTGATCAACCAGGCTGTTGCTGCTGGCTGCACGCTGTGCAAGAGTTCAAACCTCGCCACACCCACAGGGGATGGGTAGCCACAATGTAGACACCAAGTTGGTAGGATACACTGGCAGACGACGTGATCTTTTCTACCTAATAAACCACCGCAGATTATTATTATTATTATTATCAAGGGAAGCGCTAAACCCGGAGGATTATACAGCGCCTGGGGGGATGTGGAAGGCATTCAGGCTTAATTCGGGGAACTGGAGCACAGATCCAATTCCCTAAATCAAGAGCCCCTCATCAACATCAAGGAACCTTCCTTGGGGGGAAACCACAACAGAGCTGTTGTGTTTTACTACAATGTCACTGCATTTCCCGAACTCCCATCCACAACAATTTGTGGCCGTTGTGGCGAATTTCAGTGAAACTCTCGCTTGTGTGTGCTTTCGCTTCACACGGCGAGCGTCCAGGTTCGATTCCCGGCGAGGGTAGAAACATTTCGACGCGCTTCCTTAAACCGGTTGTCCTGTTCACCTAGCAGCAAGTAGGTACCTGGGTGTTAGTCGACTGATATGCGTCACATCCTGGGGGACAAGATTGAGGACTCCAATGGAAATAAGACAGTCCTCGATGACGCACTGCTTTTCTTGGGTTATCCTGGGTGGCTAACTCTCCGGAGATAAAAAAAAAAATCCGAACGAAATCTTATCTTATCTTATCTTACATCACGAAGTCCTAGCTGGCTGGCACCGTCACTCCTTACCATCAGCTTCAACAGTCAATGCCCTTAATCCACTCCTCTACGGTGTTTACGAGTGTTTTCTTGTGTTTCTGCGACTTTTCCGAACCGTCGAAGTGAGAGTTGCCAGATTTTATGAATTGCAACTATGCAAACAACAAGCCAGTAACCCAGTCAGTGGTAAGCCAGCTCTGTTATGAGATTGTAGTTGTATGTGGCTCTGCAAGTGCTCTGTTGTCTTAATGTTCCTATCCACAGATAGCCAAGCCAACCCAGGTACCTTGTTCTAAGCCACTGGCTTGGCCTGCTCTGCAAGCCATCTCTACATCTGTGGTCGTGCCTACAAGCTTTGTTTTCGTCTGGTCAATGCCTTTCCTATCAAGGCCTAATATAATAGCCTAAATTGAGTCGAGTTGTGTCTCAGAAAAGCAGACGAGTTGTGGGTTACTGGATTCCCACCTTACAGCAGTGACTCAAACTTGTGCATGTTATTAGACTATCTGCCTGCATAAGAGGGAAACCCTATCATGCAGGCTGCACGTAGTACTGACAAACCTCTTTCCGTCCGCGGGATATAGGCAGCCACGATATAGACACGAATCTGATAGGATAAACTTGGGATACACTGGCAGACAACAACCTTTTCTATATAAACCACAGCAAAGCTATTGTGTATTTCTACAATGCCACTACGTTTCCCATCCATAACGTTAGAGCTACCCTTCCCTCCCTCGAAACAAACTTGAATTAGCACCTGCTGTGAATATACGGTGAAAAGCTCTGTTCCACAAGGCACAGTACTAGCTCCCATCTTGTTCCTCATCCTCATATCCGACATAGACAAGGATGTCAGCCACAGCACCGTGTCTTCCTTTGCAGATGACACCCGAATCTGCATGACAGTGTCTTCCATTGCAGACACTGCAAGGCTCCAGGCGGACATCAACCAAATCTTTCAGTGGGCTGCAGAAAACAATATGAAGTTCAACGATGAGAAATTTCAATTACTCAGATATGGTAAACATGAGGAAATTAAATCTTCATCAGAGTACAAAACAAATTCTGGCCACAAAATAGAGCGAAACACCAACGTCAAAGACCTGGGAGTGATTATGTCGGAGGATCTCACCTTCAAGGACCATAACATTGTATCAATCGCATCTGCTAGAAAAATGACAGGATGGATAATGAGAACCTTCAAAACTAGGGAGGCCAAGCCCATGATGACACTCTTCAGGTCACTTGTTCTATCTAGGCTGGAATATTGCTGCACTCTAACAGCACCTTTCAAGGCAGGTGAAATTGCCGACCTAGAAAATGTACAGAGAACTTTCACGGCGCGCATAACGGAGATAAAACAACCTCAATTACTGGGAGCGCTTGAGGTTTCTAAACCTGTATTCCCTGGAACGCAGGAGGGAGAGATACATGATTATATACACCTGGAAAATCCTAGAGGGACTAAGTACCGAACTTGCACACGAAAATCACTCACTACGAAAGCAAAAGACTTGGCAGACGATGCACCATCCCCCCAATGAAAAGCAGGGGTGTCACTAGCACGTTAAGAGACCATACAATAAGTGTCAGGGCCCAAGACTGTTCAACTGCCTCCCAGCACACATAAGGGGGATTACCAACAGACCCCTGGCAGTCTTCAAGCTGGCACTGGACAAGCACCTAAAGTCAGTTCCTGATCAGCCGGGCTGTGGCTCGTACGTTGGTTTGCGTGCAGCCAGCAGCAACAGCCTGGTTGATCAGGCGCTGATCCACCAGGAGGCCTGGTCACAGACCGGGCCGCGGGGGCGTTGACCCCCGAAACTCTCTCCAGGTAAACTCCAGGTAATACGTAAACCTGAAGACTGTTTCTGGGGGTCCATTCCCCCGGCAGCGGTTCCTAACTATTCCGCCTGGAGGATCTAGGTCTGATCAACTGTAAAACATTAATAGTTAACCTAATTAAAAATTTCTGACTCTCGAATTTTTTGATCAGGCAGGTGGTGAGAGATATCGGAATTAGTTTAACATCGTTATAATGCACCCCATATCCAAATGATTACAGAGGTACATAATGGGTCCAGGGACTGGGCCACAAAGTTTTGTTAGCTAAACGAGTTACAGTGGTAGTGTACTATTTACATGGCTACAGTCGTAATGAGTTATTAGTGCAGACATGAATTAGGTCACAAAAATATTACCTTATATTTTAAGAAGATATGCTTGAAAAAAGGTTTAAGTGGTTATACATTATTTAGATTAGATTTTGCCACCGAAGTGGCTAGTTTATTGTGCGCCCCATATCCATCCTGTGGACAGTAGCGCGAGAGCATATGGATACACAAAAGGTCTAGGAACTAGGCCCCAAAGGGTTAACAGGAATACATATGGATTTATATCTACATATCTATAGTTATACATTATTTATAAAAGACAAAGTCAGGATATTTTTCCAGGATGGTTGATATGTCAATGAATAAAATTGACATATCTAAGAGGAAACGCACTTTGTTAACTAGAATAAGGAATAGGAATAAAAGTGATTGTTTATGAGTTTGGGAACCTCCAAATACATGGTTTATGTAATGCAGTACATTCAATTTCATGGCAAACACGGTAATGTGTTCCTGGAAACATTTCAGAATAGTTTCGTAGGAAACAAATG